TTTTTTGAGTTCGGTGGGGGGGGGGGGGGGGGGGAGGGTTTCAAGACTATGGAGGTTCATGTCTATATGGCAGATCCTATGTTCACCACAGAATGTATGAAACGTGTGGAGATAACGAACACAATTCTAGCTCAAAAGACCATTAAACATTACAAAATAGGAGCAGAGCAAACACGGACCTCTATGTTATCAGAGGTGGGATCAGGTGCCATGGAGGAGTGGGCATCCCCTGCCGACCTCCTTGTATTGATCGGAAAATAACAGAAAAATCCGTCGACAATTCAGTGCGTAAATAATGGCCTAACAAGTATGAAAAAGTCAGTCAGCATTTGACTTAATGAAAGATTGTATTTGCTGAAAAGGTAATTGTATCGACCATAGAACCTACGAAATGATGACTTTAAACGAAACAGCTGATATTCTTGTTTCATCAACTTATTTGTCAGTAACTTACTTCCTTCTGGAAATTGTTCATACATAGAACATGTTTTTCGTATTGAATCAAGTGAGAGATATGAATCCCGTATGCAGGTGATGAAGGTATATTTCTGCATAAGAAAGGAAATTTGACGATTGAATAATTAAACTCATCACGTTAATCATTCAGCTTTGTTTTTAGAACACAATTACCATTAATGTCTTTTTCTAATAAAATATCCAAATATGAAACAGATGTTTCAGACTCTGCGGTGTCTTTTATTTCAAGCTCACCGGGAAATATCGTGTCGACATAAGAATGGAAATAACCAATGTTAATTGACAGTACATTGTCTATATATCTAAATGTCGAGTTGAAGGCCAGAGGAAGTGTTTTCGTCTTTTCACGTAAACGATTTTGAACAAATTCTGCTTCATATAAATACAAAAATAGGTCTGCTAATAACGGGGCGCACATGGGAATTTCAATAGATTGTTGGAAGACCTGGTCTCCAAAAACCACATACATGTAGATATTGTCAATTAGAAACTCGAGCATCATTTTAATGTCAACTTCAGAGAACTTGTGTGTACAATCAGTTTGTTTTCTAACAAAGGAACTTTGCAAATAACCAATGACAAGGTAATTAATTTAAGAGTTCCTTCTTTAGTGAAAAAGCAGCGCAGCTGTCAACGATGTCGGAAAGTCTGGACTTTAACTTATCGTGGGGAATAGTTGTTTATAAAGTTGAAAATTCGTAAGCTTTTTATGTTGTTGATTTTGGTAAAATTTTGTGATTTCAAATGTTCCAAAAGTTCCTTGGAATTTTTAAGTATCCACATCTGATTTACATCACTTCTCAAATATATTATTGCACAATACTCTTGAAATTTCTCCTTCACTACTGTTAATATCTTAGTGAGGAGTAAAGAAAGAGGTTTGGTAGAAGATTTACTGGAATCCACTATGTATCTTTGTTTGTAAGTAAATATATGAAGTTTCGTAATCCAATATACATGTAGATATTGTAATTCAAATTCATTTTGGTTGTTGGGAATGTTAAAAATATTCAAAGCTGTCATATGATTTTTCAGAACTTCAATAAAAAAAAAAACCCCATCAAATATTTACAGTAAACATAGCCAGTGTTACTTAAATAATATTGTCACTGTCGCTTCATCCCCGAATAGGACTAGTAATAAATGAATTAATGAATAGAACATTGAAACAATTGGGGGCGGGGGTGTCACCTATTATTTTAGTTACATCAATATTTAATTCTGTAAGTCTGCATACTTTGTAACCACATAATTTTTTTTTATTTCAAAGAGAGTTTTATGAATTTTATTCAGAAGAAAAAATGTTAAATCATTACTAGACTTGCATATATATTTAATCTGTAATTAATTATAGAATGATGTAAATTGATTATTGCTTCAATGGGTACATGTACAAGGGCGGCCGCTCCGTGATCGGAAGGTCGTGTGTTAGAATCACGGCTGCGACTGAGCTAAGTCGATAAAAATTAGGTAGCAACTGCTCCTTCGCCAAGCGCTCGGCACCATGGAGTAAAAGTTACAGGTCTTTCGGATGAGACCTTAAAAGCCGAAGCTGGGTGTTTCGGTAGGCGTTGTCAAAATAAAGAACTCTCACTGCTCTTTGACCCTGAGTGCCGAATAAAGGTCTAGGTTTGAAGTCTCTCACCGGTATATGGTGATGCCTCTATATGGGTGAAAAATTCTCGAACGGGACGTAAAACAACATTCAATCAATCAATCAATCAATTAATCAATGGGTACAATCTAAACGATCATGCCCCCTCACCCCCTTCTTCTTCAATACGTTTTCTCAATAATCATAGAACAAATATTTGACACTTTACACATTGCATCTAGTGCATGTGTCGTTAATAAATCTGTTTCACTTTGACTCCAGTGCCTGCGAAATTAGTAGGAGAACAATATTTTCAAACTTTTTCCATAGAAATACTAGCATATTTATATCAATTTAACTATTATGCATTTATTTTTATTATTGTGTGTCGAGCTTACTACATCGATATCTTTAATTCTCATGCTTAAATCAATATTTTTCAAAACAATATTTTTAAGTCGATATATCTTTTAGCAATAAAATCAATCATAGAGAAAAGACGATTTAAATTACTTGAAAATATCCAGATATAATGCAATATATAAATGAAAATAAGAAATAATACTATATTACATGTTGATAAGACAATAAAAAGTAAGACAACGTACATGTGTTATCACTGCATATCTATTTCATTTCTTACTAATTAGAATGATGTCAATTGATATTTGCTTCAATGGGGACGAATTGATCATGCCCTTTTTACTTTCCTTTTCAATACAAAAAGTATCTCTATAATCATACAACAAATGTTAAACACTTAACACATGACACATGACACATTGTCCACGCAGGTGAGTTAAGGCTAGGTATAGGCATTTCTATGCAAATAAACTAATTAAATTGACTAATGACTATATCTATTATACAGAGAAAGTTAAAACTTATTGTCTAATACATACTTGGTACCCACGACATGAGATAGCAAGTACACATTATGACGTCATATTAAGACGTCATTGTTCTTTACTACACAAAATTATAATGGGTAGTAAAAAAAAAACGCTTCGGCGCAAGGGCATGCTCTATTTTATTTTACTGAAACAAGGTATATTTAGAAGCGAAATATTGCAACGTTTGCATGTATTGCTGCACAAATATTAACAGCTCAGTTGTATAATTTCTATTTGTAAAGTTTTAAGTTGAATCAGGCTAAAAATGTACAGTCCAGTATATGTTTCCTCAAACTCCTATCAAATAAGAAAATGCCTAGGATTTGTGCAGCAGTTTTATTAATCTATAAAATATTCTTCTTAACATTACACAATTTTTATGTAAAAATAAATAGGGTAATCCCTTGCGCCGAAGCTGTTTTCTTGATGTCTTTTATAACCTCTAGAAGGTAAGATCAGTGACGTCATAATATGATGTCATAATTTGTACTGGCTATAACATATCGTGGGTACTAGTATGCATAAGAAAATAAATCAAAACATTTTTGAATAATAAATATACCTCTTACGTGTTTTTATTACCTCATTTGCATAGAAACGCCTTTACCTTGCCTTAACTCACATGCGCACTTGCCGTCAATAAATCTGAGAGATGTGACGTGTCATTTGATTTGAAGCGTAAAGGTCTCTACATTATTGTGTTATATTTTTGTACATTGTCTTACTTTTTATTGTCTTATCAACACATAATCTGTTATGATTTCTTAATTTGATTTATATGTTGCATTGTATCTGGGTATTTTAGCATAATTTAAAGCGTCTTTTCTATATGATGGATTTTATTGCTAAAAGATACAGTACGGGCAACGCGGTTTGGTCATTTACCGCGCGTCGCGGCGGTGTTGATCTCATCGCGGTTTGGCCAGGTAAATCAGGTAACACCGCTCATCCCCGCGGTTAGATTAATTCCCCGTCGCGGTGCAAAGTCTAGATTTCTGAGCGAGGATAGTATTGTAAACAAACGCGAGTTATCTCCCCCAATGGAAAATTATGGAAAAATTATCAGCGTTGAAAAATCAATAAAATTATGTCTCTATTAAAGAAAGAATACTTGTATGAATATTTTTTTTTTCGTGAAGAAGATATCATAATTTTACTTTACGTTATTAAAATATACATTTATGAAACTGAGTATAATATTTATTTAAAAATACATATAAAAATGTATTTAATAAATATTTTAATATACCTGCTTATCAAAATTTCAACAAAGGTTTGATAGCGATATTCTGTCGATATATATATATATATATATAATATATATAATTTAAACATATACATTCATTAATGTCATACCACTATGGTGTCAATATCAATGTTATAAAAACTTACGGAAATAAATATTCAGAGAGAGAGAGAGAGAATTGCTTTTTCTATATGAATAATATCAAAATATTCAATCGACAGATAGTCTTTTCGATTATTACAAAAATTCATGAATGTATTATGAGACAGGAAGTATTATGTAAAAATGGTACCGAGTATGTGTGATGTACACTTTCAAGTTTTTTTTTTTGTCTACTGGAAATTATTTTTTTTTATATTGGAAAGCTAATGAAAATACTCTATAGACACCGATTAGATTACAAAGAAAAGAAAAGAGAAAATAAAACACAGCTAGAAAAAAGAATGAAATAATGATTAAAGTTGATTAATTTTCTTACTGACTTTCGGAGATATAAAATTACTGTATAAACATCGTTCGATTGATCGTTCAACTCTGTTCAACATGTTCAATAAAGACCGATCTAGTGTGACTAATTACTATCAATTAAGTTCAATTTCATTTTCGTAGTAGGCATCAGAAATGTATTATAATGGGTAGCGTGTTAACATTAGACTCATAATTAAAATGTTAAAAGAAATCTATAGAAACCGACAATTTTTCTGATACTACACTGAACATTCATCAGTCTTACACAAGTGATTGAACTGAGAGGACTTATTTCTGTGTTTTTGACTATAAACTGTGGATCATGGCTAGGCGACTTAAGCGTTTGGACACTCATTTTATTGTGCGGTATTTGTGTGACGATGAACTGCAAGTGAGAAATCGTGTGTCCTTCAAGTGTGATGGAGACTCTACAATTAGTGTTGGACTTGAGTATGATGTACAGTGGGGTAAACCAAGTAGGCCAAGATGGATAGATGGAACACTTCATTTGCAGATATATTGCCCACTTAAGTAAACAACAGTGATTTATGTTTATCAGTACTTCATTGTCTTTGAACATTTTTCCTGGGGGTAAATGCAAGGCACCCTATGTTGAAAATGTGGTTATCATAGATAAGCTCAATATTTACACCTTTACACACCATAATTTTCTCAATGTCCAAAAAATATTTTCTTCTAGTGTATAGAGGGTCCTTAAATGATCTGTTTGTCCTAACTAATCAGAATCTTAATTTCTACCGTCTTAACTGTGTTTAAACACTATGTTTAAAACCTTTGTATTGTGTGCGTTCAAGCGGAAAGAGATTAACTTTCAAAGTTTACCTGTTTACTGTATATTTCACTCGGAGTTCAGACAGCTTTTTGTTAAAATGAAAAAAAGTCTTCGAGCGCGCGAGAGGGGGGGGGGGGGGGTAACAGAAAACAAGAATTTCCTATAACAAGTCTCGAAATAAATAGTTAAGCACTGCATGGTCAATATAAATACAGAAAAGCAAACATTAATATAGAAACTGTATTAATTTTTTTTTTCATTGTTTTAAAATTTTTCTTTTCATTTCAGACAAGATCTGGAAAGCCGAAGGCTTCGCTCATCGCAGATGGCTCGCCGCCAGCCGAAGATTCAGCTACATCTATCCCCAAGACACCTGTCCGACAAAGACCTGCACCTGAAACACAGAATTCAGAGCCAGCCCAGTTAGAGTCACTCACTCCAATCCCAACGCCAGCGTCAACAACCCCAGTTTTGCGTTTCCGCCCTTACCGGACTTCGACAAATGACGACGATTTGGTGAAGGCGCTAATGAGAGAAGTCAAGGAAATGCGACAGACTCTGGATGTTATCAACAAAAAACTTGATGCGTCGAATAGGAGGGGAACAGCGTCAGATTTACAATTAAAGACAGTGCTTGCTAATACAAACATTCTTATCGATGTGGTCAGGAAAATCCCAGCTGCAAGTGGAGTGGAGTTCCTGCAAACCAGTGATCCTATTGCTGATACGATGAGTGACAGTAGTCCTGGAGATGTGTACCAAGGTGTTCCCGAAGAATATCAACTTCCAGATACCGTCCTCAGAGACATGATTAAGGAATCAAGGAACGCAGGAAATTTCGCAGTTAATCTCACAAGGAAGATCTTCCCCGAACTGTACGGTGAGGGCAACCTGCGAATGGAGTACAACTGGTACGGTGGTGGAAAACTCTCCAAAAAAGAACTGGATCCAGCGAGAAAGCAAGTGGTGAGGCGCTATGTGTGTTACTTCTTCCCAGAATTCAAACCCGAGGATTCCTGGAGGGAGAGGATCGTCTCCAAAATAAACGAGTCACTGAGGCGAAATGACAAAAGACTAAAGAAGGATAGTGTCAATCTTGTGATGCCCTCTGTGCCAGAAAGTGACCATGGTTGCTCCGATGACGTCTTCACCTTTAATGACTAATTTTTTTTTTTTATCTCTGATTCATTGTTGTGACCCACATGTTGTAAACTCAGGGATTTATACGTTCGAAAGAACGATTGGAAAAGACAGTAACAGAGTAATATAATTCGTTATTTGATGAAGAAAAAATGTAGTTAATACATGTAAAAACACTATCCCAAAGAATATTAATACATGTATAAATGTGATTTGTTTGCTTTATTCTTTGGAATGTATCATTTCATTTATTAATAAAATAATTATAAAAGATTGCACTTTTAGTCTATATCAAAGGTTGTGATACTGAATGATAGCATGATATTTTATTGTAAAATAAATACAACTAGCAGGATATTTTATTGAAAAATAAATATAACAATCACTGAAATTTATAATTTAATGAGAATATTTACGAGGAAGTACATTGACCAAAGCCATTCAACGGACAATGTTTGGCACTTGGTCTAGTCTGTGTATTTTAAAACTCATGCATGTTAGCAGAAGTTAAAGCAGACAGGAAGTGTTACGCAATGATTATCTTTTTACCTGAACACATTACAAATAATTGATTCCATTGCATATTAGATAGATCCAGCTACATGTATTTCAGAAAGAGGAGGTCCTATCAGTGGATTGAAAATTAGAAATTGATTTTTAAAAAATGAACAAGTGTATTTATTTAGTTCAATACTATGTATTGTTAAATTATTCTTACTTGATAAATAACAATATTCGCATAAATTTTTAAACATTCGAAAAACTAAACAGATGTCCCGAAGAATGGGGATAGGCGGTACAACCCCCCGGAATCCCTCTAGTTTATTAATTGATCCACCAATAACACCCTAAAATTAATGATTGGATGACTCGATCCATGCGCGACAGAACAGTGCACGTGGATTCCGTGAGCAATGCTTGTTAAATCACAACCCTTGTTAATGAAAGAATTTTAAGAAAAAGTAGAAGAAATGAATGAAAATGTTGATTAAGATATCTTACTCTACATATTTACGGCAAACTTACATACTCGGCAATTAAACGATGAACGTTTTAACATATAAGGGAAATCTGCAATGTAGCTTTCAAGTTGTTAAATTTAATTCAAAATGCTGATGATGATTCTTATTATACAAAAATTAAATCTAGTATCCATTAAACTCGTAACGAAACTATACTTTAAAAAATATAAATAATTGTATACATGTACTCTCTTATTTAAAAAAAAATCTACACTGTATATATTATTAATTGATGATACAAATACAAATTTGTTTAGTCACATAAAAGGCATTATTCTCCAATCAAAGAAAAACAATTCTTCTTACCGAAACAAAATAATTTTCCTGACGTTAAAAAACATTCCTAGAGACCCCCCCCCCCCTAAAAAGATCGGTGATTGCAAATACATGTGCGTACAGGTAAAATATCAGAGCTGACGAAGAACGGTAGTTCACACCGCCGCGGTAAAGATGGTCTGTTACCTGCACCGCGATGAAAAACCGCGATGGTGTATCGCGGAAAGGATTAATACACCGCGGAGGGGGCGCGGTTAAATGACAAAACCGCGTTGCCCGTACTGTATATCCCCTATAAAAAAAATATTGATTTGAAAAATATTGATTCAAGCATGAGAATTAAATATATCGATGTAGTTTGCTCGACACACAATAAAAAAAAAATATATGCATAATAGTTTGATTACTATAAATATGCTACTATTTCTGCGGGAAAAGTTTGAAAATATTGTTCTCCAACTTATTTTGGGGGCGCGAGAATTCTAATGAAACGTAAAATCACTCAGATTTATTGACGGCACATGCACAATGTGCCATTTGTAAAATGTCAAATATTTGTTGTATGATTATAAAAAGATAAACATATTGATGAAGAAGGGGGTATAATCAGTTAGATTGTTCCGATTGAATCAACAATTAATTTACATCATTCTAATTGATAATTAATTAAATATATATGCAAGTGTAGTAATAATTTGATATCTTTTTTTGTATGAATGAAATTCCTCAATCTCCCTTTGAATTAAAAATAATTATGTGCTTACAAAATATGCAGAATTAAATATTGATGTGGCTGAAATAATTTGTGACCCCCCCCCCCCAAACCCTATTCTTCCAGTGTCCCATTCATAAATACATTTATAGTATTAGTCCTATTCAGGGATGAAGCGAAAGTAACAAGTTTATAAAGTTACACTGGCTATGTACACTGTAAATATTTGATGTTTTTTTTTTTTTTATTCTGTGGTTAACATAGGATCTGCCATATAGACCTGAACCTCCATAATCTTGACATCCCCCCAACTCAAAAAATATAAGCAGTGAATCATGATATATATCAGATAAAATTTAATTATTAGTTCATCAGATCTAGATTTTTATTACTTAGAATTATGAAAAATAATGTGTGCTTCATAACAGCCAATCTGCATAAACTTATAGTCAGAAAGTTAAAAGGGAAAAGGATGGGGGTCAGCCAATTCAAATATTTGAAAAGAAAAACAGAGGTTTCATTACAAAACTGCGAGTATTCTTCTTTATTTTCGGGATCAAAAATTAGCGGATCTATAATATTCGCAGGTAGCACAAAGATAATCGTGCATTTTTCCTCTTCAAAAGTGATGATGGGGGTAGTAGCCCTCTATGACTATGTCTATGATCCAACTGCTGTTTCTCTCCACCCCCCACCCCCCTTTTCAAAACATTTTTGAATCTCTATCAGCCTAAAATCGTATATGATAGCAATTACATGGAACATGAGCTTTCGCTGAATTCCGAGTGAAGTGAAGATTCATTAGAATCCCCGCAACCGCGAAGTTTTATTCAATAATAATATTTTCTCACTTCTTTAACGGAAATATTCATATATTTATGTCGATATATCTATATATTTCATTTTTACATTTCAACAATAATATATTGATATGATTAAATATCTTGCTTTGATCAATATCTTAAAATCAATATATTTTTAAATCGATAAAAGTTTTAGCAAAAAAAAAAAAAAAAAAAAGAAAAAAAAAAAATTAATTAAGGAAGGTGCCTTAAATAATTCAAAAACTTCTAAATACTATTCAAAAGATGTGTATTAATAAGGAGTCATAACAATTTATATGTTGATAAGACAATAAAATGTAAGACAGTGTACACGTTATAACACAACAAGTTTAGAGACCTTTACGCTTTCGTCTGCTCTGAACATAATGGGAAGTTGGAAAGACTTGCGCATGCTCATTAATGCTGATGTATTATTAACCATAGAATCGTCATGATAGGACCACCTAATTCTGGAAAACGGGTTGCACTTTGTAGCAATTCATAATTTCAAAATAGAAAGCGATAAGCGTCATTCTCAATAACTGTATTTATCTTTTAGGGATAAATCTGATTATTTTTAATTCTATAACAGTAGCACTAGCTTCAATTGCACAGCAATATAAAAGATCGGGTCTCTAAAAATTAGACATCTGATTTTAAACAAAAATGTAAATTATATATATATATATATATATATATATATATATATATATATATATATATATATATATATATATATATATATATATATATATATATATATATATATATATATATATATATATATATATATATATATGTATGTATGTATGTATGTATAATTTCAGAGTGTATATATTTAGCAAAAGAAAAAAAAAACACATACAAATGTATAACTTAAATATATTGTCCATACATGTACCGTGTTTATCGACACCTACTTCAGTAATTACATGTATCTGTTATCGTCTATTGCTGTGAATATATAGAAATTACTGCGTCCAGTCATCTTATGTACAGCTGTCCTCATCTATTGTGGTCCTTAATTTTTGGATGCCTTTAATGAATTTTTTCAATGAACATTGTTAAATTAAGTCCTTTTATCTTTAAATCATCTAGTAGCATATATTTCTATTGTCAGCTTTCCTTACTTACGGAGCAATATACTATTATCACCTGTAAAGGGGAATTTATGTCTCCCAGTTGACGCAATACACTATTAACGCAATTTTACAACGTAAAATCCATTTCTTAAATTGAGCAGGTTATTAAATTAATGATACAAAGATATTTTTGCAAATTCTTTCGACGATACAATGTCCTTCTTTGCAAATAAATTCAATCGCTAAGTCAAATTTTGACTGACCTTTCTCGTACTGATTTTTTAGTTTTAAAAATAGGTATCGAAATATATCTCATTTATCACTTATGGACCTTTAAAATTTTCATTTTTATTACAAAGTATGTTTTGTGCAGGTCTTCAATCAGAAATGACCGTTTTATAAAGTTTTAATTCCTTCATTTTGTTTTGTTTTTTTTTATTATCATTGACAAAATTATGCACATGCTTGTGCAATTTGCAATCTCAGCTTCTCAGATGCAAATATGCGTGTATAATAAGGGCATGTAATGCTTTCATTTTTAATGGTATGTGTCATCTATTCTGTCAGCTCAGGAGATATCATTGAGAACGCCTGAGTAATGATTAATAACGAACAGCTTTCATATGAGTTACATTAATAAAGCTATTCATTAACATTTTGGGGATCTTTTTAAACGTTTTCAGCGATGTAGTTCATTACTCTTCATAGCTCTACTGCAGTTGAAAATTGCAATTTAAAAGTAGCAAATCATTTCATTTACTTTTATTGTGAGGAATTGCTATTTTTGTGTGATGTTTCAGTAAACATTTCCCGTATAAATTAGGCCCACTCGTTATACAGCTTTAATAATGCTGCGTATACAATCAATGAATGTCGCCCGCGTAGCGCAGTGGTTAGAGCATTCGCTCCAGAGTCGCATAGTAAGGTGTTACGTCGCGGGTTCGAATCCCACTGTTGGACGTGGAGACCGGTCCTTCAGATGAGACTGTAAAAACCGAGGTCCCGTGTCGCAGTATGAGCTGGCACGAAAAGATCCCTCACTGCTCAATGACTCCAAGTATAGGTCAAAATTTGCAGCTCTCCACCGGTAAGGGGTGGGGTTTCCATA